TCCGACACGTCCAGTTCAGCGACAAGCCTCCTAACGGAGCTGTGAAGCTCGGTGAACATAGTGTTGAACCTTTCGACAACGGCAATGCCCTGCTCATCAACCGCAGATCTAACGATCTGATGAGTGTCGGGAATAACTTCCCTCGCAAGCTTTTGAACGATCATGCGCATCCGACTAGCGTCGGATTGACCCTCGATCTCCCTAGTGGCGCTTGACATTTTCCCTGACTTGCCGCCGCTCCTCCGTCCATGGCTGGTTCATCGATGCCATTTGACCATTCATCATGCGAATCTGGCCCGCAAATGCAACAAGAGTGCCAGGAACAGCCCCGCAAACCTCACCCCTCTCAACAAGTGATTGAAGGTGAGCATCAAATTCTTCCTTCCTGTATATACATCCGAACTCCTGGATGACCGGGACCTAACAGCAGGAGGAGTGGAGATTTCAACTCTTTCCGGACGCTCCGTCTCACTGACGCGCACTGACAAAGGCTCTGCCAATAGGATTCGCTGACCTGTTTTGGCTTGGCTCCCTCCCTCGGCTAACGCCGGCAGCGGAAGCACGGTCGGACATTCGAGACTCAGGGGATGTGGACATCCACCGCATCAAGCATCTCAGAGAGGGTTGCTCCCAGGCTCGGGGCTTGCTCTCCTCGCTTTTGACCTGTCTCGCCTATCGGCGAAGGGCTCTTTGCCGATGCACTCCTCTCCCTGTTCACGGATCCTCCTCCTCCCCATTGGGAGGGGGAACTCATTGCTGGACCTTAGCGGTGCGGCATCACGCGGCTCACACCCTAACAGGCTTCTCAAAAGAGAGTTGAACCTTTCATCGGGCGCGATTTCAAGCCTGCCATCACGAGATCACTGTCATCCACAACCTGCCGCGGCCGCGAGCAATGTCCTTATCGGGAGCATTGCATGCGACCGCCGCCTGCCGAATGTACCTCCAGACTCTGTTGAAGCCCAGCAAATCATCACCTGATCGGAGGCCACCTAGGATGGCCTCCTCATCCACGATGCTCCTAGAGCTTCGCGGGGTCGACGTCATTGAGCTTGTACGTCACAAGCACGCAGGAAAGTCCTATGGCTGATCACCTGTCTCAATGGATAAGGCGTCGGGCTTCGAAGCTTCCAGGTTTGTGGTTCAAATCCCGTTGGGCACGCCTCGTCGGGAGGCGACCACCCCGAAGCAATGCGACGTCAGCAACTGGTGGGGGTGGGCCGGGTCAGTGGGCAGACGGAAGTGGCTCGACTATGAAACCCCCCCCCCTTATGGCTGATAACCTCTGATTCGGGCACGAGCCTGTGCCCAGGCGAAAGGAGAGTTGGGGTAAACAAGCCACAAAACTAAAGATCAGAGTTTCCCACACACAAGTAACCAAACAACCACAATCCAAACCAAAGGGGAAAAGGAGAGAGAGAGAGAGAGAGAGAGAGAGAGAGAGAGAGAGAGAGAGAGAGAGAGAGAGAGAGAGAGAAGAAGAAGCCTCTGCGCCGGAGCGCAGAGGGGGCTCCGGACCGTCATTGCCCCCTCCACTTGGAGTTCAGACTGGCGCGCCCCAGGCTCCGTAAACGTCATTGCCTGGCAAAAGGGGGGGCCCGCAGTACCAGCAACAGAAAAAAAGCACTGCAGAAAACCAATAGGGAAGCGCCCCCATGAGTGAGCACGCCTGCGAAAACCTCGTACAGCGCCCGCAATGAGGACAATGGGGAGCACCCCGTGGCCTGCAGAAAGCAAATTGGGGAGCACCCCATGAGCGAGCAAGCTCGCGAAACAATCAGGGAGCACCTCATAGAGCGCCAGCGAGCACGCCCGCAAAACAATTGGGGGCACCCCATGAATGTGAGCGCCCGCAAGACAAGTGGGGAGCACCCCTTGCCCGCAAAAGAATTGGGGAGCACCCCACAGGCGAGCGTCCGCAAGACAATTGGGGAGCACCCCATAGGCTGGCACACCCGCAGAAAAGAATAAAAAACACAAAGCCGCCAGGGGAGGAGAAGGCGCGGGAGAAGAGCACCCTCCAGTCACGCGCCTAGGACACAAGGCCGGGAAAGAACGTGCCCAGGAACGTCACCAAGCCGTAGTCGAAGATGGGTACCTCAAGGTCGGCGGAAAGAGCCGGAGGCTCAAAAAAAGAACTGCAGCAGCAACAACAACAACGACAACAGCAGCTGCGACAAAGGCAAGGCCAGCAACAGCAGCGGCAGCAGCAGAAGCAGCCGCAACAGCAGAAGCAGCGGCGGCGACAGCCACAGCAAGGCGAACAAAGGGAGCAGAGGCCAAAGGTACACAGCAAGGAAAGAGAAACGGGCGTGTGGGTTGGTTTGCCTCTGGCGCACCAGTGACCACACGCGACCAAATCGTGTGGTGGCACGCCTGAGCCTGCCGGAAGCGCCCGGCCCCACACACAGCTCGGGGAAAGGGGAAAAGGATACCCGCAACCTGGGTCGACGATGAGCCGCACGGGCACTCCCCACCAACCTGCTCCGGGCCGAAGTCTCTTTCTCCTCCGACACGTAGGTGATCGAAGTGGGGGCCCGGCGACGCTCATCCGAGGCCGCGACTTGAGCCAAACACCACGGGATCGTCACTATCGTGACATACCCGATGATGCTTCCAACACATGGCTAATCACATAAAGTTTAACTTTTAGTGTTTTACCGGAAAACCCATGAGTTGGATCAACAAATTAAAGTCCTATATAACATCCCTTGGCAAAATGCACCAAAGATCCCATCACTGCGCTGCCTGCATCTTGCGCAGTAGGAGCACCTTTCCGGACTTCGCGGAAATCAGTGAGAGTGAGTCTCCACAGGTTCTTACTTGCGTGGATTGGCCCAAAACAAGTCTGAACTTACCACGGAAATGGTCCAACCCCCAAAAGGTATCAAGTCCGAAACGGAGCTCAGGAAGGTGCGTTCCGTATTTCTTGGGCGGTTTCCGGAGCCACCCAGAGGCATCCGGTGGCACGCATCCGGTGGCACCGCGGCACCCCGCCAAGACAAAGTCCAAGACCAAAACTGGTTGAAAGCGAGTCGGATGAAGGGAGTCGGCATCTCAGCCCGGAACTTTCATTTGCTTAGGTTTTCTGGGAAAAAATCCAAGAGTGACAAAATCAATTCGGGACTGGGTAAAACCAAATCTTGGTTGACGTTGGAAGGGGAGCAAAATGTTAGATTTTAGCAGTTGAGAGGTTGGATTTCAATCACTAAACCACAGTAAGCAAACATGTGAAATGTTTCCCAACAACAACCAGCGAACTTCTTGGTCAATGTCCGTCACTCCGAGGAGTTCGATATGTGTTATTACAAGTTGACGAAGAGCAAAAATGGATGCGTACTGGCCGCGGAGACCAGTTAGCTGCTAAGCACGGGGCATTGAGGATTTGCCTTTAGAATGTTGGACCCATTGGACCCATGAGTAAAAATGATGAACCAAAGGCAAACAGGTCGATTCGCTTTTCGTCACTGATCAGTATGAAGCCGGCACATGTTGCCGAAAATCAGTCCGAACATGGGCTTTCCCGGAAGAATGCACTCCGTCAGACTAACATGGAAGCTCCCCTCTGTAAATGGAGCCAAGTCTTCCAAAGGGGTCTTGGGAGCTTCCATGTTAGCCTGGCGGAGGGTCGTCCTGGTTTGAATGCCATGAAAACATGAACCCAAGTGCTTGCCTCGCCGCAAGCGCGGGGCCAAAGTGAACGGCAGCAGTCAAGCAGTCAGGTCAGCCAGCAATGCGGTGTGGGCATCTAGCTGAGAAACGTGCGGGGCCAAATCCTCTTCCTTCCATGTTTCCCTTGTGTTCTCATCTCTTTATTGCGGGCACCAGCTCCATACATGTCTTGAAGGGTGGACATGTTCTCCCGGTAACTTTCCGGTATCAAGCGAGCCGTTTGCGACGATGTTGTACAATCGTGCGGCGAAATCTCCCGAAAAAAAGAAGACAACAAAAACTATATACTTCTTCAACGCAAGCTGTCCACAACTATCCATATTTCCGAGATTCGAAGTCTCCTAATGACAAATTAGAATTTCAACCAACTCCATGGGAGCAAATTGCCAACTGCAGTCTTACTAGGGCACATTTTAGAAATCAATACGAAGTCCTTACGGGCAAAAATGGTCTCTATTCACACTGCTCGGAGAACATGTTGGTTGTTTTTGCTCTTTGGGGCCTGGCTGACAGGAAAACCAAAAGCACCACCATTTTGGGTCCCAGAAAAAAAGGCACACCACAAATAAAGATTGCCATGGGCTTGGATGAGGCATCTCCCCATAGCTTTTCGAATCAATTGCTTGGCCGGGCAATCAATAGAGATCGCCAAGGGGGTCGACTTCGTCTTTCCTTGAGGCTACCTTCCTTTTTATGGTTTTAAACGGAAAACCCATACAAAAACCATGTACGCGGGTCTAACAAAATACACACCCAGATTTGAAGCTTCTGCAACCTCAGATGTTCACGAGTTTCACCGGACAAGCTGGCGAGGACGGACTGGCCCAGGCGCCCCAAACGAGAAGGGAAGTGCAGGGAACCGAGCGAATGGAGGGAACCGAGTGAATGGACAAGTGTGTGGCGCTAAAACTTCATGCGAATCTATGCCGAGACACCCGTTCGTCCAAGACATCCGGTTGCGACGGAAACCCGGCTGTTGCTTGCAGCCAGCTCCATGCAACTTGTGACACCATCAACCTTGCGGTTGACAGGCTGCGAGCGGTTTGGACAAAAACCCGCCCAGCTGAAATTTTGAAACGATTCGGCTTGCGCAAGAAACAGATACCTCAATTTGATCAAGGTGTCACTCAAAACAATACTATGACAATTGCATCAAAAAGCGAAAAGGCGCACCTCCCCCCCCCCAAAAAAAAAAGAAGCTGTAGTAAAAGGGAGGTTAGCACGCAAATTATTTCGGACGAACATGCCTGCTTGGGAACCTAGTGTCCTTTATTTATCCGACTGTTGACTGGGAAAAGGCGTGCGTGAAAGCAAGGTCCTCTGGAACAGCTCTGGAGACTGTTTGTCGCAGCAAGCCAGCAAGTATTGCAAGTAACCCCAGGTGAGTTGCAGAGACGGAGACGATTTAGTCTCCCTGAGCCTCTCTTGCATTTTTTTTAATGAATCACCTGGAGAGGTCGACGCCCAGTTCTGGCCGAAAAGGGGCGCCGAGCTAATCAAGCGGAGACGCATGCAGCTGTCGCAGCAGCAGTTGCAGCTGCAGCTGTCATCTCCAAGCTTCCCGCGACAAGCATCACTTGGGCGGGCTCAGGCATTCGGTGGAACTCAAGACTGGCTGCGATGACGTCACCTGGCGAAATGCACCCGGCCAAATGCTGGCGACCAGTTTTTCTAGGGGTACCTTGCATTTCCCTTCTTTGCAGGGATCCGGATCTTTCCAGAAAACCTCGAAAAAAACTCAGGGAAAAACGGCTGGTTATTGAAAAGAACCGATGGTTGAAAGGAATGGAAGCAGAATCAACCCCCGGAACCCCCCCTTTTTTTCCTGGTGCGCAGGAAGTTTGGGTCCCGAATCCCCTTGCCCTGGAAACCTTCCGCCCAATGCGGGTTCAACCTACAGGGTCCCAGGTGAAAACCGTGAGGCACCAAAAAGGCGGGCGCGGGTAGGTGTTTTTTTCTTTGGTCGCAGCGTCCCCTTGAAAAATCCCATGACAGCCCGGTGGGAACCCAGGCAATTAGATTGGAGGGGTGTCAATGCGAATCAGGGCTTCTGAGCCTCTTGGTTTTGACGGCCAAGCTCAAACTTGTCTGACCTTTCTAGGTGTACCTTCATTTCCATTCTTTCCAGGGATCCGGATCTTTCCAGAAAACCTCCAGAAACCCAGGAAAAAACGTCAGGTTTTTGAAAAGAATGGAAGAGGAATCAACCCCTGGAACCTTGACGAATATGAATAATTCCACCAACCCAAAAGCTCAAAGTGTGTGACTCGACCCTAAAGCCATCCGCTCAGAAGCCCCGCCCCAAGCAAACACCCCCGCAAAAAAATGGAGTTCACCTTGTTTGCCTGTTTTCATTTGAGTAATGCTCAAAAGTTGAGAAAACAATGTTTAGGGCCCAAGGGAAATTCCTGAGTGAAACCAAGGCCGAGTGGCACAGCTGACGTGGGGAGATCCGACACCAGGACTTCACCTCCTTCCAGTCCTCCCCATGCGAACGAGACGAAAAACTCGGTGCAAAATGCCTCAAAGGACCTAAAAATGCAAGGTTAGCTTGTTGAGTCCTTTACTAATAGTTGATCAAAAGGGAAAACCAAAAGGTCAAAGGGTCGGCTTTGAACAGCTACAGTAAACCGTAGTCTCTCATTGGCCTTCCTTTGCGAAGAGCCAGACGGCATCCGTGCTCGCACGTCACTGAAGCACCTTGAGATGAAAAACAATCCTGGGAAAATGTTGGAACCTCTAAACAACAGAAAACGCAGAACCAACAGATTGCTGGATCGGCTTGATCGCAAGTGTGGTGTGTGTGTGTGTGTGTGTGTGTGTGCGTGTTTGGGCGTGAGCCCTACCTCATCCCAGGAAGCAACAGCTTACCCCGACCCTGAATTGTCTGACATCTATCTGGTCAAAATCCCAGAGGCGAGTGACGGATTTTGAGCGTCACCATCCTGTGACTCGTGTGAGGAGAATGAAGAACAGTTCAACTAGCAGTGAAAATCGTTGTGGTAAATCGCCCCTTCTGTGATACCAACATCGGGTCCTTCCAAGACTACGTTGGGGTTTCCCTGGTGACATAGAAAATGGCCCTAACACCCTATTTCCCACAACCATGGAAGTGGGAGACATCGTAGCTGCCAAGATTTCTTCGCCAATGGCTTTTTGACCCCATCCTCGGCTCAGTGGCAAATGGCATGGTTTTTGTGGCCAAGCCGCTTGCCTTTCACTGGGCGGCCCCCACAAAAATCCATCGCCACCAGAACAAGACCCGGCCGGCGAGCACCAAGTGCCGTACCAGGTTGAAACCTTTCTTTGTTGGACCGAGCCAAAGCAAAAGACAAAAAGAAAGGAAAAAGAACAAAGAAAAAGGAAAAAGAAAAGGAAATTAAGGAAAAAAGGAAACAAAAACAAAAAGGAACAAAAACAAAAGCAGTTGCATGCGCTTCGAGAAAGCGATCGTTTGAGTTCCTTGACAAAGCAAACATTGGGGCACCTCCAACGGATCCAAACTTCTTTTGCAGGGAACAGGCATATTTTCCATTAAAAAAACGTGCCCTCACAAAAAGAGAGGGAAGTCATATGAACACATGTGGTTTACCGCTGAATGAGATGAACCATTCGACCTACTATGGGTGGACAACATCTTGCACCACTTTGAAATCATGGGAAGCCGTTTATTGGTATTTACAGGGGAATCATCCTTCCAGGGTCTCTTAGATGGTGCGAAGTGGATTTCGTCCATCCACAGTATGACTTGAAACTAACCACTGTGAAGACTTGGCACCTTTCTGAGAGGCGGGAATCGGGCTCCCACCTGGACACAGAAAGCGCCCACCCAGCTAGCTGCTGTAGCTCCATAACGTCCTAAACAATTCAACACAATCATGCTAGGGGATACCTGATGCTTACCATTCTAGGGGCACCTTCCAAAATTCTTTCCAGGGATCCTTCTTTCTAGAAAACCAACAACCATGCAGTGCTAACCCCCGACTAATAAACCGCTGGTTGATTAATAGGGGGTGTCCCCTTTATCACTTTTGGAGGGAACACCCCCCAATAAATAATGGGACGGGTTTATTAATCCTGGGTCAACAATGCTTTTCTTCAGGATACCTACCATTTTTGGGTGTGGTTGATAACAAAGCTTGCGCCTTCCTCACGTTTTGCGAGCCCATTCGAATACTCAGCTTGCTCCCGGGCCCCGTAAAACGAACCATGACCAACACGTTTGCCGGCGGATTCCCTCACCAGTTGGGCAGATTGAGACTTTTTGTCCGAACCAAGGGCAATTCAAACGGGTATTTGGTAAGTTCTCTTCAGTTTGGTTACAAGCCCCTCGTGCGGGACTCCCAACTTGCCGTCTTTTTGAGATGCCTGTTTTGATCTATCGATGCCAGTCCTCCTCTGACAGCAGGGCCAACCCCTGGCAGTAAGGCTTCAAGATGTCATCAAGGTGTTCGAGAAAGAGCCCCCAGGTGTCGTCCGGGCAGGCGCCCCACACCCGCCGCTTCTTCCAAAGAGCGTGCCTTGCATGGGGGCGGGGGGGCGCAGGGGAGGGTACTAGCTGTGTCTCTGTGTGTGTGGGTGTTGGTATTCCGTTTCTTCGCTCACACGCTGGTTGGTCCGTTTGCTCGTTTGATTGTTTCCTTGTGTGTTTGCCCTTTGTTCGTATGCTTGTGTGTTTGGGTGAGTGGCTGGTTGCTTGGCTGCTGCTGGTTGCTTGGCATTTTGCCGAAAAAAAAACAACAACAAAAATCCTCTCCAGGCCCTTCTCCAGGGTGCATGGCCAAGTCCGACTGAAAAGAAACTTGGTTGGGCAAACAACTCGCACTTCTGTGATACTGTTGATGGACGAACTCCTGCACCACGTAAAAAAAACCTGGGGTGATGCTTCCCCTGTAAATACCAACAAACAATGGCTTGCTATGGTTTCAAAGTGGGCAGGGTTTCGTCCATCCACAGTACCACTCTCGGCCATCCAAACTACGTTAAATGAAAGACTCTTGAAAGGGAATCCCCCCTGTATCACGGACAGCGGTTCGCACAATCGTGTGGAACAATTACGCACTTAAAGCGGGTTCAAGATTAACCTTTTACTAGCCACATCTTTTACAGCTCTCGGAGGCACCCTGTGGATTTAGCGTCAGGCTCTCTTTGTGCCTAAACATCTTTGCCGGAACTGGTTGGCTACGCTCAAGAGGAATCAGCCACCACTTGCAGGGGGGCATCACCCCTTCCAAGAACGGGGGAGGGCCGCATCAAAGGAACTTTACACGAGCTTCAAGGGCCCGCCAATTTTTACAATCCTACAACAGCTTGCTCCGGTTGAAAGCACCCGCAAACACAGGTATAGAACAGACATGCTGAGTTGGTGCGGCCCCAGCGGCCCTTCAGCCACGATCTTTAGCAGCTTTGCCGGGCTCAGCTCGGCTGCTTCCGGCACCTAGGCCGTCAGTCTCACGAATCACGTTTTCCAAAACTACTTCAGATCCATAGGGAAGCCATGGGATATGCACACCTCTCAACTACTGTCAGGTCTGAATGCAACTGTCGTCTTCCCCTTGGGGTCGGGAGGACTCAGTTGTCTTTGGACCACCTCACCTTGCCTTACTGGTCCTGACTGGCCCCCAATCAAGACCACGGAGCCCAACTGCCGGAACTTTTATGCAAGGATCCTTGCTGGAGATAGAAGCCAACATCTGGGCAAGGCGAAGGAACATAGATCACAAGATATGGCCATGAGTCAAAATCCCGTACCCCCGGTGAACAATCCCCACAACATAGACCAAAGTGGTACCATTGGCTTTGAACCATGGCCATCTCACCAGTGCGCCAAAGGCTGCCTCTGCCAACTCCCAGCGCCTGGCGTGCGGGAGCCCTACGAACACCACGTGTGAAACCCCGAGGCCCCCGCACGAGAGAGTTGCTGTTGGCATGTCCTGCGCAATCGGCTTCGGAAGGGAAGCTTCAGCGTAAGGCATTTTGCGTGGGCGCAAAGGAAGCCCCAGGAAAGCGGCTGGCAAGCCAGGGGAATTCGCCATAGCCATGGAGTCCCAACATACACTCGGTTGCGAAATCTGCTCCCCTGCTAAAAGCTTAACTTTTAGTGGTTTAGTGGAAAACCCAATAGTTGGCAAAAAGTTATAGTCCTAACAGCCAAGCAAAATGCACCAAAGTTTACAAGTGAACTAAGCCACATGTTTGGTCAATTCCAAGGTTCCCCTCGCTCCCCTTGCAATATGTAGGGCATCCATCGCATGTAAGAAGAAAAAAACCACGCGCCCCTACCGAGAATGAACATGCTCAACACAAACTAAACAAGTTAGAACACACACCAAGATTGGTGAACGCAGGGTGAGGCAGGGTTGTAATCTTTGAGGATCAATTCTTAGGGCTGCTTCACTGGAGGGCTCAGATACTTCTCCGTTTCCGGCCATTGAGGGATGCGTCCACCAACGGAGTGCCATGTGGTGACATACAGTGCCCCCGGAATAAAAAGCACGCGACAACCACAGACATGGTGGGTACATAAAATTGTATTCCAGCATGTTCAGCCTGATTACCAGGCATTAGCAGGGGAAAGTACACGAGGCAAATCCCATAAAGTTCATGAGAACAAAGGCCAGCCAGCGGCTTCTCCCTTGTCTCCAGTAGCACCTACCCACCAGACATGTTCTTTTTGGCGGCCCATTGCCACCCCGTTCGCGTTGGATGGAGAGGCCAGCGGCAACGATTGGGGCTCACTGCGGAAAATGGTTCAAATGCCGGGCTCGCAAGCTCCAGCCACGGCCAAAAGGCAAGATGAACATGTTCCCCAGATAGCTGAAAGCTATAGGGGGCTTCTGGGGCTTCTAACTTCTAAGGGGAGAATCATTGCAATCTGGGGAGTCTGTGCTGGTGTGTCTTTTCAACCTGATTTTGGACATGGAATTTGACACGAGACGTGCCTGAGCATGCTTTTGGCCCTGAAGGCTGCCAACGTTTTCCTTTAAGCCCCACTCGCCTGAGGGGACTCAGTTCAAACGGCTCATACATAATGTTCAGCAGCCAGCCGCCTAAAAAAAAAAACGAACAAAATGAGAGCCCTGCGGGACATGGAGGCCCTCTTGCAGGAAAATTGCTCTTTTTGCGTGCCCCTTGTATTTTCCAATGTTCCCCAAACACGCAGATAATGAGGCCATAGCACAGGCTGGTGCAAAGGGGTGGGTTGGAGTCCTGTGGTACATTACTTCGGGCTGACCCTGTCAACCCCGTGCACCCAGCAGATATTTCATGACGAACTGGAAATAGGAATCCCCTAGTAAAGGACCAGCACCATGTCAAGCGAAACATCCATGTGCCCTTCAAGGCTTGCAGCAAAATGTGTGTCTTGCGGCCAACCAAACCAAAAGAACACGAACCTTGCGAAAGTTGAAAACGAGCTCCCAAGCAAGTAAACCACCCGTCAGCTCAAACGAGCTTGAACTTCTCTGACATGATGGGGACCCTCCCAAAAACAACGTTCCATTGCCGTCAAGTGAGATGGAGCAACTTCGTAAACTTCGTGGCGTTTCACCAAACTAACTTGGAAAACCGTTTGGCCTAACAGGGATTCTTACATTGTACACCTGAACATTGCCTTGTAAATGGTGGTGTCCCTTTATTTTGGTGGAAAAAAACATGTTTCAAATTGGCAAAATGTATCTTTTAAGGAGCCCTGCCTAATTAGCCTGTTCTCCAGTCCTCGGAAAAAGCGAGCGACACACCGAGCATCTCGTGGCCCTGTCTGCGCCACTGCGCCCCTGCGCCTCCGAAGCCCTATATACACGCTTAAAGCATGGTGCCGCAATGTTGTGTGGAGCCCCCGATCCTCCCACCGCGATGAGAACAAGGCCCCCATACAAAACAGACTGGTCCACTTTAAAGACAAAATGAGCAAACAAATCTGCAGACTTGGCGCTGTGCAGGCAGACTGCGCGTCGGCCGCAAGATGCTGCCCGCAAGTCGTTATACGCAAACTGCTCCGTGCCACTTCTCTGTGCAGGTGGGTTTTTTCGAATTGCTCTTTTGAGTGCTCTGCGCGTGGTGCTTCGCACAAGTTGTTGTTGAGGCACAATCTCTGCACTTGTGCTCTACAACAGTCTGCACGTCGATCTGTGCGAGCGCGCTGCGTGTGTTGCTTTGTGCAAGTCGCCCTGCGCGAATGCAAATTCTGCGCACAAGACAGTCCAGCAAGTTGCTCTTCAACAAGTGCTTTGCGAAAGAGCCTTGGCAGTTGCCCTGCGCAAGTTCTCAGAGCACTTGCGCTGCGCAAGTTACCTGCGCAATGGCCCTACGCAAGTTACTCTGCGCCGATGGTTCTGCGAAAGTAGCTCTGTGCAAGTTGGCTCGGCGCAACTGGCTCTGGACAAGTTGCTCTGCGTCAGATACTGTGTGCAAGTTCGCTTTGTGTGGATAGCTCTGCGCAAGTGGCTCTTCGCAAGTTAGCCCAAGGGCTTGCACGGAAGAACCCGTCGCTCTGCAACAACCGCTTGGCCTTCGCAGGTTTCACTTTCCAACCCTTGGTATGGTAGCAAACAAAAAAACTCATGCACTCCGTAAAATGGCCGGGCCAAAAAAACAACAACTCCTAAACAAACCCACACACACACACACCAACAGTGAAGTTTAGACTGTTTGCCTAAGTGGGCTAAATACACACACACACACACACCAACAGTGAAGTTTAGAATGTTTGCCTAAGTGGGCTAAACAAACACACACACACACACCAACAGTGAAGTTTAGATGTTTTGCCTAAGTGCGCAAACTTCACTTGGCCCTCATAGGAACTCAGCAACCTAGGATACCTTGAG